ACAAGGGTCAAAGTGTCAGATGTTGAACTTTTCGCCAAAATCGAATTTTTTAACCGGGTGAACGTTGATTCCGACTATTTAAGCGACGGGCTATTCAAAACTATCAAAAGTATGTGGAAAAAGTGAAAAATGAAAAAAAAATTTTTTCACCGGAGGCCAAAGTGTCGGATCTTGGATTTTTCCGGGGGGAAAGTCGGTCCAAGGGTCACAAGGGTCAAAGTGTCAGATCTTGGATTTTTTGCCAAAATCGAATTTTTTAGCCGGGTGAACGTTGATTCCAACTATTTAAGCGCCGGGCTAGTCAGAACTGTCAAAAGTATGTGGAAAAAGTGAAAACTGAGAAACCGTTTTTTTTGGCCCCAGCCAAAGGGTCAGATTTTCGGGTTTTCCGGGGCAAGTGGATTTTCGCCAAAATCGAATTTTTTAGCCGGGTGAACGTTGATTCCAACTATTTAAGCGACGGGCTATTCAGAACTCTCAGAAAAAATTTTTCACCCGGAGCCAAAGGGGGATAGTCGGTCAAAGGGTGACAAGGGTCACGAGGGCCAAAGTGTCAGATCTTGGATTTTTCCAGGGGGAAAGTCGACTTTCGCCAAAATTGAATTTTTTAGCCGAGTGAACGCTGATTCTGACTATTTAAGCGACAGGCTATTCAGAATTCTCAAAAGTATGTGGAAAAAGTGTAAACTGAAAAAGTTTTTTTTTTCAAATTTTCAAAGGGTCAGATTTTTCGTTTTTCTCGGGAGAAAGTCGACTTTCGCCAAAATCGAATTTTTTAGCTGGGTGAACGTTGATTCCAACTATTTAAGCGACGGGCTATTCAGAACTCTCAAAAGTATGTGGAAAAAGTGAAAACTGAAAAAAATAATAATTCACCGGGGGCCACAGGGTCAGATTTTCGGTTTTTATTTGGAACAATGGTCAGATTTGTTAACACTTTCATTTTTTATTTCGATAATGCATGCAAGCGTAGGGACAAGAGTGGAATTTTTTCACGACAAAAATTAAATTTTCGTGAAAGATATTAAATTTTCTTCCATCAACTTGGTTAATTTCCCTCAAGTAAATGCGTTTCACTCAATCAAAAATTCTAATGTGGAACATAGTTTTTCGGCAGAGCTAATTTTTTTTCTCATTAGAAGCGATTGAAACTCCTTGAAATCATTTTAAATGTCACACCAAAATGATTTAATGATTTAAAATGATAAAATCAGTTGAAATCAACGGAATCGCCCAATAGTTTCTGTCAGATCGTTAACTATTTTTTCACGAGCTGAGACGAACTTCGCTACCACTCCCCGTAATAATTAATAACGTATATATTACCCTATTAAAGCTCGTCTGTGGTTTATAATAGCATTTAAGGCGATACTCTGCCTCCTCAGACTGGATGTTCTGGCGCATTGGTGGGACGGATGAAAGTTACCCTCGAGGTCGATGCAAGTGAAATTGGTCGTCGGCGCGTGAGACTCACCAGCGGATGATGAACACACTATGATCGGCTCAGCGCCTTCAAACCTACCATTCACAATTCCGCCAGAATATAATATTCATTAAGGATTACGCATAATAAATTATGCCATCAGCCTGAACCCCAGTTCTCTCATCACATTTGCAAAAGAAATTACTCGAAAAGAAATAATTTATAAACGATCAATTATTAGTTATTGCTAACAAATGGATTTGGTTGAAGCCTAGAGTTCATTCAGTCTCACCAAATGTTCATTCGTTAATAGTTAACAAATGCATATTTGAAAAGCCTTGTTTGACTCGACTTTCACCTTTGTTTCTCTCCATCATTTCCCTGAAAGCCCCTGAAGAAACATCTTTAATTGTCCGTTAAAATTTATACGCATACCACTTACGAAACAAGATTCTAAAAAACTCACGTTCCAGTTACGTCACTCGCCATTTGTCTCCGCGCGCTCTCTCCTTCCTGAAAAGAGAATAAAAAAATCTCCCACAAGTTCTTGTTTTTTTTTCTAAATGTATTTCCCTGAAAAAGAGGAACTCTCTCAAGTTCGGCCACTTGTATATTGTTAAGCGGACGAGAAGTGAGAATGAGAGGAGGAAAAAACAAGGAATGCGGGGGAGAGAGGGAGAAAAAAAAATAACCCGTTGAAAAAGTTCTCACTAGCTTCTGTGAGACCGGTGTGTGCAACAATCGGTTCCGTTTATCTTCCGACAATACCTCCCTCAACTTCGGAGTTACTTCTCCACTCACACATACACAGGTATACGTGGAGGGGCGGCTCTCTCTCGTCGTTGTATTTGCACGAATCGCACCTTTTTCCAAGCCCTCGAGGGGGAAAAACTCGGGTGAATTTATTCAACGTGAAAATTTACCGTGCCGAATTTTAATGGCTCGTTGCCGCGTTCTTGGGGTTTATTTTCTTCTGACTCTGTACCGCAGAATGCAGGGGGAAAATAGAAGACAGCTCTTTATACCGTCGAAAATTTTTACTATGAATATATCGACGGGTTGCGGAAGGAAGATGTATTTTGAGAAAATCGTTCGTGAAGACGTGAATCAACACAACATTTTTCTATTTGCACGAAATAATTAATTGATTTCTTTCAATCGTTCTTCAGTAACATATGAATGAATTTAGTGGTGACGCAAGAGACTTTCCGAGGCAATACTTTGGAGAGATGACTTTTTAATTTCTCCGAGTCAATTTATCTCATCTTGGTCTCAAGTTTTTCGTATTTTTAATGTAAATTCTGGTTTTTTGTCTCCCTTTGTCTCGTTTCGATTTTCTAGCTAAATATTTGAAGATGAAAATATGAAATAAATTCTAAACGGAAGTTGATATGAATAAAAACATTCTGATTGAGTTTGTGCTCAATTGGCAGTTTAGTATCTCTATATTATAAAAATACAAATCGACTTTTGGTGATAAAAATTTGGCACTCGAAATTAAGACTCCATAATTAAGGGTCACGAGTATCAGAATAAGGTCCACGAGGGCAGATTAAGGGTCATAAGGGTCAGAATAAGGATGATGGGGGTCATACGGGGGTTGCAAGCGTTATTGGTAGTAATTAATTCAACATCGGCAAAATAACACAGCCTTATGAGAAAATAAAATTTTAGAGATTAGAAAAAAGATTAAAATGTAATAAAAATTTAAAAAATCAGAACAAAATAAATAAAAATTCTGCCCCTAATAATGAATAATTTATGGTTCTGTGAAACGAGCAACTATTGTTTAAGAAGATAATTGTAGAGAGAATTCGATGAATTAATTTTTTACTCTCGTCAAAGCTAGAATTCATGTGAGAAATTATCAGCGATGAATAATTCTTTTTTCGGGCATTTAGAATTTTTTTTCTCGCTACACTCAACGACTTACGTAGAGTTTGGATGCACTACTTTAAGATTTTGGAAAGTCTCAATTTGAGATTTTCATAATTCTCATTCTGACGTGGTAAGCAGCAAGTGGAATTTTTTTTTCGTGTTATTTAGTTCATCACAAACACTTTGCCGACACGAAAGAAGATTATTACACTTGAAACAACGGCTGAGGGGAACTGGCAGATAACCGGGGAAGCTAGCTTATTTACGCGGCTCGTGGATGAACGGAAATTAACAAGTCAATTCGGTTTACACTTCAGACATTTGTATAACATTTGTGTGAGGAGTTATTTGGATATCACTGTAGTATCACTGGGGATGGGAGCAGTGCTACACGGGCGTCTTGACTGCTTGCCCCGGGGGCACGTCATCGCAAATATTTGGGATTTGGACGTTGTTAGATGGTGGGTGCTAAAAATTTGTGGCTGAGTGCGAGAAATGGGAGAATACTTCATGCGATATTATTCATTTCGTGTCAAATTTGTCGAAGTGGTTCGTTGAAAAAATGAATGAACGGATCAACTCAAATTTTCAGTAAAATGAATTTTCTCTTTCATATAATTAAATTCAGTGTAAAAAATAGGGTCTTCAAGACGTTTTAAGGATATCCAGGTACTTTGGCTATTTTTGCTCCAGTGAAATGCTTTTCTACTTTTGTTGTCGAACATCAGAGCTTTCATTTGAGCATCATTTGGCCCCAAGTTTCCGGAAATCTTACAATGATTTTATTATTCGAATTTTGCAGGTCTGAATTTGAATTTCGATATTGAACCGTTAGAAAATATTTCTAAAATCTGAAAAAAATTAGAAAGTTTACTTTTGGAGAAAGATTAATGGAATAATTTGAACCTTGCAATTTTTGAAAATTACGAGCATTTACTATAAATAATTTATAAACAATCAATTATCCACCATAAAAATTATTTGTTCGGAATCGTAACAATATTATTTATATTCATAATTTTGCCAGGAACAGATACCCCGGAACCACAAAATTTGCCATAATTTTCAAGATAATTTCTATCCAACATTTCTCTCCACCCAATGAAACATCATCAACCTCCATCACGAATTTCCCGAATAATCGCCCCTTCACATCCAATTTCGAAAACTTCATTACCCCCCAAAACTCTTAAAAATAAAACTTGTCCCTCAAGCCCGAACGCAAATGTACTTTCTATAATTTAACATTGTCCCGGGGCAATCGTATTCCGCAATTAACGGCATTAATGAACGGAAGCGGACAGGAGTTGAGGGAAAATACTTATAATCTCACCGGCTGTGGGGGTGGGTGGCGTCGGTG